TATAAACAAGGCATCCATGGTGCTTAGTAGGATGGGTCTGGGCACGTGTGCTTCCCAGTGTCCAACCACAGAAGCAGTGAGAGGATGAAACCACACAGAGGCTGCTGCGTCAACATCTTCCTCCACCTGACTGCCAGGTCAAGGCTGCATGTAGCAAGGGTGACATGGGTTGGTGGCCATGCCCACATCCTCATCAGGAATGGCCTTTTTGGTGATGTCTTCCTTTCTTCCTTGGCTTTTGCAAGGCACAGTTGCTGCTATCACTGATTCAGGTACTTTTTGCTTAGTTCAGCCAATAGTGAGAGATTAATTGGTTTCTTGGGTTTTGTTGGTTTCTTTGGCTTTTTTTTTAAGTTAATTTGGAAAACTTTCCTGATTATACATCTGCCAGTGCAATTTACACCTCTGAGGATTGGGTTGATTAGAGAATCAGTGAGAATGATTAATTTTATTCATAGAAGGAAGGGCTATGAGCATGCTGCAAGCAGAGCCCACAACTGCACTGATGCTTCCTCCAATTGTTCAGCTGGGTCCCTGGCAAGCCTAGGCTGAAGCTGCATGAACTTGCACAGCAAACGCTTCTGCTCGCCCAAGCTCCTGCAGCCCTGCAGAGCCAGGCCAGACTCAGCCTGTCTGCCAGCTGCAAGCCTGAAGTACAGCCTTACCCCACACAGCAACAGCATTTTTAAAATCATTAAGTTGGGAAAAGACCACCAAAATCACCTAGTCCCAGCCATTGACCCGTCCCCACCATGGCCACTAACCATGTCCCCCAGTGCCACATCCGCTTGCTTCTTGAACTGCTCAAGGGGCAGTGACTCCACCATTTCCCTGGGCAGCCCATTCCAGTCCCTCACCAGTCTTTCTGAGAAGAAATTTTTCATAATATCCAATCTGAACTTCCCCTGGTGCAACTTGAGGCCATTTCCTCCTGCCCTATCACTGTTACCTAGGAGAAGCAGCCCTCCTCCTCCAGTGGGGGAGAGGCGAGAGGAGAATGGTGGCAACCTGAAGGAGGTGGTTCTCGGGGAAAGGTTAAAAGAACTGGTTTGTCCAGTCTGCAAGACTGGAGGATGAGGGCAGATTGGAAACGTGTCAGATATGTAAGGATTGCCATCAGACCAACTGGTCTCTAGATAGAGAGAGAGGGAGGTGAGCTGTTCCTCAGTGAGAGTGACCTGGGTTAGGTCTGAAGGAAAAACATGTCTAACTGCCAAGAGAGGCAAGCCCTGGCAGAGGGTTGTCCCTGTCACCAATGGTACTTGTAAAAGGTTAAACAAATACCAGCTGGGGAAGACAGGAGGAGAGGGAAGGGAAGGCCAAGAGGTCCTGGATGATCTCTGCAGGGTACTTCAATTCAGGTTGGGACAGTGCCCAAAATGTCTGTTGAATTCCAGCTGTGAAAGTGACTCTCCAGCCCGGTTGTCCTAAAATGGTCCTAGGTTTTGCAAGAAGCCATACTTCTTGTAAAATGTGCCATTTGCCATTTTGGGCACTGACAGCACTGCCATCCCCCCCAAACACGTGTTTTTTAATATTTGAAATTATTTTCTGCAACCCTACTTCAAGCCTGGCTAAGTCTTACACTCATTCAGATCAAAGTTTCTTTACTGGCATGACTACAATGCTGGCACTGCCAAAGCTAACATATAATACAAATTAAATGATAAATTGTATGAAATAATGTTTCATCCATATCCAACACTAATACTGTAAGACGTAGAACTCTACCTCCTTCCTCTCCCCCCCCCAAAAAAAAGAGAGATGTGGCAAAAAAGAGCAGCCAGGAAGAAAGGAAAAGTTACCCAGTGTGTTGTGCTGGGCATTAGCTTAATGAGGAAGAGGGGATGAGGTTAAGCTGAATGAAGCCAGTGTGCACAGTAGGTCAGTTTAGTCAGTCCTATCGTAAAAAAGATTGCTTTCTCAGGCACTGAGTTATCTAAGTCAGAAGATTTAGGTCCAACTTAGGGATCTCAGAGCTAAAAGGCCGCGCTTACACCAAAATATGTTTTCATGTTTTGTTATTTCAGGCTCAAGTCAACTTGCTCACCTTTTTTAAGTTCTGCTCTGTGGATACCCTACAGCCTGAGCTACATGGTGGTGGTCGATGTTCATCTACTCCTCCCCAAAGATGGACTAGAAGTAGCACATACACAACTATTACATATTCATACAGCCAGATCTGTGTGGGAGAGAGCTGTAACTGGGAGAACAGCAGCACATAATGATGGCACGGGGGAAAATTAAAATCTGGCTTTGCTGCCTTTTGCCCTTGCTTTAAGCAATCTCTGCCTTTCCGTTTCTGCCTGCCCATCCGTCCACCATCCTCTCTATGCTATGCGCTGCTGTTTCCCCAGCTGGCAAATGCCCTATTAGGCTGCACCAGTGCCTTTTACTGCGGGGACAGGGAAAGGGAGGTGAGGACGTGCAGCCAGGGGTGTGTTTAGCCCACCAACGAGGAGCACTGCAAAAAGCCATCAGGGCAGCCCACGCCTTGCTGTGGGTCTGTGCAAGGCTGTTTGGGCCTGTGCCTGCTCCTTTGGCCTCGGGGCGGCTGAGGCGACCCGCCTCCCTGCTGACACAGAGGTTCCTCCGCAGTGCAAAAACAAATGGCTGAGCACCACGTGCTTCATTTCACACAAGGCAGAAGCTAGGGCAAGCCCTGTCACTCACCCGCAGATATTTTGGCAGTGTCAGTGGATATCTGCATGGGGAATTTCAGCCCCTGCCCATCTCCAGTGACAGCACACACTCTAGCTGAGAATGGCATTTGCTGATCATTATTCCGGTGCAGAGAGCAGTTTTGAAGCTCTGCAGTCACAAGAAGCACATTCCTCTGGGTTTACCCTTCTCACGTTACTGGCGGTGCTGTGACCCCAGTAGCGATTTCCACTTCTCAAGTACGGCAGGCATTGGGCTCCCACGTCCTGCTCTGAGGTGGGTGAGTCCCTGCTTGCTTCACCTCTGAGGCTGGAGGCTGTCCTGTCAGCGGGGAGCACTATCTGCAACATACCGACCCGCCACGCTGGGTACGTGTGCAGAGTCAATCCTTCACGTTTTTGGGGCTGACGCTGGGAACTGGCATACGTGGATGCTGCCACACCTACACAGGTTTGTGGGGCCTTAGCTGGGGAATCTGATTCATTTCAGATATGCTTCTATTGAAGGGTCCCCTGTACAGTAAAGCTACCACAAATGTGTCAGAATAGTTTTTCCCCTTGGTTCAGGAACTTGTGCCACAGGTCCTTAACTCTTAGTAGAGTATGGCCCTACCCAAGGAGCTGAATACAGACAGTGAAATGTGCACTTTGTGTTTCTGAAATGAATTAGATGTTCACATGTGAAATGGACGGGTGAGTTTCTGGCAGTGCTGAGCAGTTCCAACTACTGCCACATCACTTGGAACACATTGGCACACAGCACTCTGGAAAATTAGGCCATGTTTCTCCAGTGCAAGAGGCTCATTGATGTGAGGGACATCAAATGTGTAAAATTATTTGCACTTTGCTTCTTAATAACAATAAAAGGATGACTCATAATTACCTCCTGGGAATATTAAAATCTAGACACAATGCCTCTTGCATCAAACAGTGAATCCATGCAGTGCAGTGTATTAAATGTTTTTCTTTATTACAGAACAGTGATGTCTAATAATTCCTGAGCTCAGGTTTCACCGCAGTATTTATAATTCACACACATAATAACATTTTTCCATTTAACGGCCGGGGGCAGACGCCACAATATGTTACATAGCCCCAGTGCAAATAACAAGATAGGATGATGTCATTTTGTAGCGTTCCTCTGAAGCAATCTAAAAATATTCTCTCGCTTTTCCACCTTTAATTGCAGCTTTCTTCCTCCTGCCCGATGCTTTTGCTCTGGTTTCCATAGGAACAGCTTCTATTGTATCCCTGGCTGCCAGGGGAAGGATTCATGCAGATGTTGTCATCGATCCAACACCTTGCGGCAGCTTTATGGCTCATTGTCTTTGCGTTTCCTGCTCTCGGGTCTCCCTTCTCCCCGGGTGGGAATGGCTTGGACTCTTCCTCCCGCGCAGCGCCTTTGATCTGAAAGAAGGGAAGGGGAAAAATATCGATTGGGTTTTGTTATGAATCCTAATCCTTCTCTGAGCTCTTTCTGAAACCTTAAAGCAATGCACCGTGGGGCAGCCACAGGTCTGCTTGTCTGGTTGTTAAGATGGGCGCCTCACAAAAACACTAGCGGAGTGTTCAGCCTGGGGAGACCCTAATTTAAACCTCTCTCTAATGGGGCATGGAAAACTTCTGTTTCATACCGAGCTGCTGCTGTTTTACTGCTTGCATAGTCTGATCAGAGCCCTTTTTTTGCCTTTTTCTTTCTCCTGTTTTTTTTCCCCCGCTAAGCGCCTGGGGAAGTTTCCGCATTTTGGCTGCACTCATTGTTCATCCTCTCCCCACCCATGGCTGTCGTTAGGGCTTGGCTTTAAGGAAAAGGGAGGGATGCGGGAGAGCAGTTCTGGAAAAGCTGCAGCATGGCGTGTTGCAGACATGAAATGTAGCTGTAAGACGGAGCGGAGAACAAGGAAATCTGCTTAATCACCCATTGTTTGCAGTTGTTTTGCATTCCTCACCTCTCACTCCGCATTGGAGCTGGATGGTGTTCTCTCGATTTTGCGAACCTGACAGGCCGATCCTAATGAGTGTGTAACCGAAGACCCAGGCTTGTGCATCTGCATTATTTATCCACCTAAAGCGGGAGCTGCTCTATATTTAGCCTGTGATGTCAGCGGGTTGTTTGCATCCTTCGAAAATTGGCAGGAAGCCACCTCTCACATGATATATGAAATCACTGATAAATGCTTCTTTTCACCGAAAGAAAAACAGCCTCATAAATGCAGCTCTTTGCTGCTTTCATCCTCTCCCTCCCCGCCACACTCCCTCCCACCTCTGGGATCTGTCTCCCCGTGGCAAAGCTCGGCAGCAGCTGTGAAGTGGAAATGAGCGCAGGAGGCAGCCACTGCCCTCCCGAGCCCTCCTGCCTCTCCCCACCCTCCTCAGCCCTGGAGCCCAGCCAAAGCCCTGGTGAATCAGGCGGAAGGGAAAAAAGGGAGCGAGGGAGGGAGAGCCGCTTTGCGGGGACGCTGGTATTCCTGGTATGTAATTAGTTTCAGTTGTTTTTAGCAGGCGGGGAGCAGGGGGACGGGAGTGCTCCCACGCTGCTGCACAGTGCAAAAATGGCACCCTGACAGATGCTCATGCTTATCTGTACCAAACGTCTCTGTGATGCGAGCATCCAGCAAAGACATCATACGTTTGTACTTTCAGAGGGGAAAGGCAGCCGGCATGCTTTGCTACGAAACCAAAGGTCGTGCAAAAATAGCTGGTTTTATGTTTGAAAAAATAGCTCCTGCTGCCAGTGCTTCAGCTGCCATTGCCTGGCAGGACTCCACCGAATTTCCACGGCCTGCTTGACGCCAGCTGCGGGCTCTAGCCCTTATTCGGCCACGGGGTGTAAGACAGCTCCATGCAGTTCCTGAGGCATGGCATGCTTTCCAAACCCAGCAGGTGCTGGGGTCACAGTGTGGCTGCATGCTCTGTGGCAGCACCCACCAGGTCACCTTCCTGCTACGGTGTGGCAGAACAGCTGCTACAGCAGCTCAGCACCAGCATGAATGTGAGTGTAGGGAGCAGGCTTAAAGGAGGCTGCTGTGAGTGAGGCTGCTGTGTCCCAAGCAATGCCAGCAGCAGCTGCTTTCCTCATGCCATGAGGAGGGGTGTCTTGAAGGAAAGCTGGGAGGGGGGAGATGCAGCCTTGCTGCAGAACCACAAGGAGCAGATGAATGACTTGGCATGTTCATTAAACAACCTCATTCAGGCTTCCGCTCCACGGGCATTGCTTGTGGGTTTGAACAATAATGAAGCAGGAGGAAAAACCTGCCCCTGAAAAGTTCAGGCTGAACCAGCAAATAAGATCAAATGCAGTTGGAAGTATCATGCGGCCTGCTAATGTTCAGAAATGACATTAATGCAGTTCAAGCTTATTCAAACCAGCATTTTGCTTTGGTTTTGGTGAACAGGGTGACCTGCAGGTTAAACACCAGAGACACATTTGGGAGGAATTAAATAGGGAAAGGTGGGGACAGAGAACAGAAGAAAATTCTTTCAGTATTCAGCATAAAACATCTCTCTATGGAGGAATATACGAGGCAAGGTAATAGATGAGACTGTTGTCCTCCCTGGAAAAACACTGTGAAGGTGTTACATAAAAGCTCATTAAGGAATACAGCCAGCCAGTACAGTGAGGTGATGGTATCTCAGTAGTGCCAGATGTTTGCTGTTCCAGAAAAAAAGGAGGACAGACTGCTCCCCAAAAATTCACTCTGTGTTAGAGGGGTGCTCAAGGAAACTCTGAGTGAGGCTGTAAAATAAAGAACTATAGTATTCATACAGGCAGCTGCCAGAAGCTGCCCATCTTCAAACACCCAGTGGTCCTGACAGTTGGCACTGCCTGAGCACCAGTTTTCTTCACACCTCTCCTTGTTCTGGGAGGTGTTCTCATGGAAGTTCTCATTCTAGTGCAATCAAGTCGTTACACACATCCTGTCTGTGCCTTCAGCATCATTAGCAGCTGAGGAAATGAAGGGAGGAAAGGCTGTACTCAGGACAGGCAGGGCTGGCACCGACACCAGTGGATGGCCCTGGGCAGAAGGAAAACCACAATTAGGAGAGCTGTCATTATTTTCTTCCCTCCACTGAGACCTTGGAGATAACCTGTGAACCTTTGCTCATGAGCATGTTCAGCAGACACAGCTCTGTATCCTCCCCGAGCTCCCTGCAGCATGAAATGGCTCTCTAGGCTGACCACTGCAGAGGGTACCTTATGCTTGCTGCTTCACACTGGAGCATTTAAGGGCCATTCAGCAGATTATCTAACCCTGGAAACACAACCAACTTGTTCTGATGCTCCTGAATCACTCTGCAAAAGCAACACAGATAATGATATAGGATGTCAGTGGCAGAGCTGGGAGGCTAAGCCAGATGTACTGAGTCTCTCTGCAGGGCCAAATCACAGTGCACATCTTCTTTGGCCCCAGCACTTGCATCTCGTGGGCTGTTCATCACCATCAGAAACATGGCTGTTCTCTTCTAGGAGGTCAAAACCATTTTTTACAAATTCTTGCATAGTTTCATAACACAGCTGTAACTCGGTTCTTTACTACTTGAGCAAAAGACAAACTGCTCTGTTATATTTCTTCATATACCATTTTGCTTCATGTGAATCTGCAAATGAGGAAAGTATTGACGTATGCCCAAAGTCCCTAAATCCAAAGCATTTCATAAGAAATAAGCCGTTAGTGACCTACCATTCTCTTGCATCCAGAACAATTTCCATCTGAAATCCTGACAACAATGGGGTGATTCAAAGCCCACAGATGTTTCATGAAGATTTTCTCAGAACATCCAGTCAGATGGATTTCACACGTGGTCTCTGTTTGCCATCGGACAAACACAATATATACTAGATTCACCTTTACCCATACACCACTTGACTGAGGCTTCATCAAAGAAAGTATGCTTTTCATCATGCTTTATACTGGCAGCAGAGCTGTGCCCAGAAGCACTTTGTGCTAAGCCTTTTTCTTTTCAATACTTATGGGCTTATTGCTCATCCTCTCTCATTCAGGACATGGTAGGGGCTCAATGAAGGGGAATGTCGCTTCCAATGTGGTTGTGGCGTGGCAAGTGGAGAGCCTTTTTACGCTGGGCTGGGGAAGAGAAATAGATTACTTTCCCCATAGTGTGGTTTTGGAGCTCAGCCTCAATTGTAAATGTGATGCCCTTCAGCATAATCAGCTATTCCCTTGTTTCAAGCTCTCCTAAGTGCCTGATTGACCTTCACTGTCCCTCCAGCTCTTTATCCCGCCTGGCAACAGATAAGATAAAACTCGTCAATGTGTTGGAGAGCTCTCACAGATCATTCCCATGTGCATTAGGTTGTAGTTGTTCCCTGACATTGTGTTGCCCACTTGTCCAGCTTTGGCTGTGATTGATGGAAACTAGCAGAAGTTTTTTAAACAAAAATTGCAGCCCCGTGACAAGGGAAAAGATGGGGTCAGCTTTAGCTCACCAATGTGAGAACTGCAGTGATGAAGCAGGGTCACCTTCTGCACCTTTTCTGTGCATTTTGTGCCCCACCCCCTATCTCTTGGCTGCTGGAGGACAAAATAAGATACAGTGGGACCTGTGGGGATTATCTTCCCCTTCCTCTTCCTCTCAGCTTCATCTCATCTGCCTGCTCTTTCCTGCCCTTGCCCTTCTCATGTCTCTTCCTTACCTCTCTCCTAATAAAGCCCCCAAAACTGGTCTCAAAACCCTTTTTACATAATCATGTTGTTGAGATGGTATTTGCAAACTCATTTTGTTTCCTCTGCTTCTCTGTTCAATTCCTTTTATTGTCTTGTCCCTCTAGAGATAGCTTTTCAGGTCAAGGTCTGCCCCGTGTTTCAGATCTGTACAATGCCATACAAAAACTTAAGTCTGTCTGGCCCCTACAGAGCAAAAAAGAGAAACTTCACGTGCATCCAGACCTACCATAAAGCTCAAAAGAAAGATGCTCTGTATTAAATTTGCCTTTCTGTCAGACAGGCTGGGCTCATCCTGTGAGTTGGCCCTGTTGTGCTCATGGGACCCCATGGCTCATAAATGGACATGACTGGACAGTAACAGTGAAAAAACTTGAAAAACTGTTTAAAAAGACTCATCTTTCAGCAAAGACAGGCTCTAAATTCAAGTAATAAAACCTTTACCAAAATCCTGAGCAGCAGAGCTTGAGCTTTTATGAGCATGGCTTGTGGGAACTGAAGCCGGAGGAAACATCCTCACTTTGCAGTCTGAAGTCTCCTGATGGCAATGTGCTTTGTTTGCAGGTAGCGAGGTGAAGCAAATTGTTTGTGGAATGCCTCGTGACAGCCTAGCAGACCTCTGTCCTTCCTGCTGCCAACTGGGGATGGCGTTAGGTGTACATTTTCAGGACCATCTGATGGATATCCCTTCAAACACAACAAACAAGCCATACTCCAATGTGTTCTGGGTACCTGGAAGCAGCTGTAGGGAAACATCTCTTGGTTGGCTCTTCTGCAAACGGATGCCCTGTGCAGTGCAGTGTGGAAGGGGCAGGTGTGATAGGGCACCTTTGGGAGCCTCTGTCCTTGCAGCTGACAGGCCTTGTTGGTGCCTCTCCACAGGCTCCTGAAGGAGGCCAAGAGGAGGCAGCTGGCAGGGTGAGGTGGGCAGGGGCCGAGGGCCCCAGGCAGCAGTGAAGGGAAGGCGTGCCTCCATGCAGCAGATTAATTGTTCCTCACTGCTGTTTCCTGACTCTTTGAGAAGATCCTTATAAAGCCTGAAGTGGAAACAGTGATGCGGAGCTGGGGAGCCACTACCTAATTTCCTCCTGGCTGTACCACATGCCGCCTACGGCTGGTGGGGTGAGGCTTCCCTGAAGCAGCAGCTCTCCTGATAGCAGGTCGTCTGGATCACAAGGAGTGTGCACACCAAGGGAGTGAGCTGTTGGCTGCTTTGCTGCTCTCTTCTGTTTTTAATTTGGGAAAGCTGTTCATTCTGCGCTTGCAGGGTGGGGGGAGGATGCTGCTGCTCTTCTGCTCTTAGTGACTGTGGTCTGCAGGTCACAAACAGCTCCTTCAGCAACCTAGGGGTGCCCAAGTTGTGTTACCTCAGTTGGTGGCTGGTTAGCAGCCCGCACTGCACTCAGCCAGGAAATCGTGGTGGTGGAGACAGGAAAGGTCCCAGAGATGAAGGTAGCACAGCAGGAGGGTGTGCAGTAGCATCCCCAGCCTCCTGCAGGCTCCTTGGCAGCACTGGCAAGGCTGAGCCCAATCACGCTGGTAGCCATGTGAGCACTGGGAGGTGGCTGCCCTCCAGCCCCAGGCTGTGGCAGGCTGACACCCATAGTCACCTCCTCACACCCTGCCCTTGGCCTGGCTCCTGAGATCAGATATTCCAGCCCTGCATGGCTGTGACTCCCACTGCTTTGGGTCAGGGGTTGGATGGAAGGACACAGCCATGGCTGCTAGCTGTGGTGTGGCACAGTGACTCACTGCTCCACAGCTTCATACACATGATGGGTGTCGTCTGG